GCTTTCAGCGCACTTGTCAGCCCTGCAGCATCTAAGAACTCAACGCCTCAGCGATCCGCCAGGTGGGGGTTTCCATATGGGGGTAGCCCTTTATCGCTAGATGGTTTATTTCATGGAAAAATCCATCTAGAAATGGATGAGAACTGGGGGTAGCCCTAATTTTAGGAAACCACCATGCGCTTTGGTGAAAAATGGAGCCCAAAGTCAAGACCCACCGTCATCAGCCACATACTTCCAGGATAATCCCAAGTAGCGATGATGCCTAAGAGCATTATATGGCAGTGTGTAAAAACCTTGTACCCCTGGTGAACATCAAAATAGCTGGTAAATGGATGTTCATCCCCCTAAAAATGGTATTAATAGGTATTGATCCATACCCATATAGAGTCCTGGTCATCTTTGCGTCGTTGCAAAATTCCCTCTCGAACAACGTGAAAGATTTACAGCAAGAGTTTCAACCGCTGGATTTTGTTTGCTGACTCTTACTATGAATCCACAGTTAATTAAGAATTCTAGGTGGAAACAGTTGAAAACAATTGACTATAATGAAAACATCTGAAAACCCAAAATATGTTTTTTTTGTTCTGGCCCTCCGAGACGAGCAAGAACCAGTCAAGATCACTGATCAGACACCTTCAGTGTGGCTCTTCTTGTGTCCAGCAAAGAACAACTTCTGCCCGATCGTGGTCAACCTATGTCAAACCATTTTCATTTGTTCAACTGCACATTTCCTCAGGGTCGAAACTGAAGGAAGCACAAGTTTGAGCACCTGTTCGCAAAAAATGAAACCATATATATCTTATATAATCCAGAATATGTCAATATGTTTGGAAGCTGTATGTGATTATCTGATATATATATATATATATACATACATATATGTGCGTGCGTATGTATATATATATACATATATATATATATGTGTATATGTATACACATGGTTTATAACATTCATTCATACAAGTGGCCTCTAGCCAGATACTTGTTAAGTAGGATCTTCTTCAACATAGAAAAATTCACTGGGTATCTTATTCCCGAGAAAACATCCACATCAGCCTCAAAATCGTGCATTTTACCATGGTCAATCTCTGGTAGTCCGCAAAAAAAAACAACTTTTGTTGGTTATTTTATGATGTTCAATTTATAACAAAAAACTAAAGGATTCAAATAGCTATCGAGTTGGTTGGGGATGAAGCTGTCTGCAGTTGGTGCAACGTAGGCCACCGAACATTCATCAAAGTGCTGAAGATTCACCGCCTGGTCAGCGGGACACCAAACAACAGACGAATGGGACATCGCCAATAAATGGGACATCGCCGTATGTTTTTGCTATAAATAGGATCTATTCTGATAAATACCTGCCAGCATGTAGTTGGTGTAGTTGCTTTAGTTATAAATGGAGATCTTGATATGATGTGGTTACTTTAGTTGATTGGTTATTCTGAATATTCTGATAGATAAATACCACCATGATCTTGATAAGAAATCGATCTATCAAAACTTATCAAAGGACTTTCCGATCACAGCAGCGAGATCTCGAGTGGACCAACCCTGGATCTTGATGGATCAGTTATGGCCCAACTAACAGTTATTTTTGTGGAATGAAATAACTCCTATAACTAGGGTTACAGATCATGAAATAGACCCACTCAAATTTTATTGTTAGTTGGACCATAACTGTACCATAGATAAACATCCATTAACCATAGATAAACATCCATCCCCTAGGTTTAAACCTGACCTTTGCTTTTCTTCACCCTGGCAGCTCATTGCTCACTGCTATCGCTTAAATTTAACAGTCACCTCCACACGCTGATTAAAGCGCTCTGGGCCGCCAAAGCTATTCACCTTACAGCCGGGCCACACTGGCCAAGGTGACAGATTCCCACCGAAAATTCACTGGGGATATGTGGGGATAAGGATGGATAAGGCAAGTTTGTATAAACTCGTTTTAAAAGCATGTGAGAAAACCCCGCAATCCGAGGTCGGATGCAACTACCCCAAGTGGCACAGGTGTCATCCAACCAAACCACTGATGCATGTTTAATCTGTTGTGAGCAAACCAATGAACAACAGTGGATTTTGGGCGTTTAAAATTTGCAACCAGTTACCCGCACGATGGCTAAGATTGGCTGAGAAAATGTTGCCGTTGTGAAATCATCTGATTCCCAAAAGGAAGGAGAAAAACAAACATGGTGCCAGTCAATGCTTCAAAACATCTGCCCGCAACAATATTGCTTATAAACCCCTATAAGTTGGGATATAACCCCTATAACTATGGTTATAATATATATATATATGTATGTATTTCCAACATATATATCCACTGATAACTGGAACTGCACTTCCAAGAACTGATGGCCGACCTCATCAAACCCTGACAGTGGCGTCGAGTGACCAGCGACACCAAATGATTCCACGGCCTAAGGGCCGACGGCCAGCCAGCTCTACTTGGAAACCAAATCTTTCTATGTATGTATTCACAGTAAATGCAGTGTATGTGTGTATGTGTGTCTGTGTGTGTCTGCCTGCCTGCCTGCCTGCCTGCCTGCCTGCCTGCCTGCCTGCCTGCCTGCCTGCCTGCCTGCCTGCCTGGCTGTCTGTGTGTCTGTGTGTCTGTGTGTATGTGTGTGTATGTGTGTGTATGTGTGTCTGTGTGTGTCTGCCTGCCTGCCTGCCTGCCTGCCTGCCTGCCTGGCTGCCTGTCTGTGTGTGTCTGTGTGTGTCTGTGTGTGTCTGTGTGTGTCTGTGTGTGTCTGTGTGTGTCTGTGTGTGTCTGTGTGTGTCTGTGTGTGTCTGCCTGTCTGCCTGCCTGCCTGCCTGCCTGCCTGCCTGCCTGCCTGCCTGGCTGTGTGTCTGTGTGTATGTGTGTATGTGTGTGTGTGTGTGGGTGTCTGCTGTCTGTCTGTGTGTCTGTGTGTATGTGTGTCTGTGTGTCTGTGTGTCTGCCTGCCTGCCTGCCTGCCTGCCTGCCTCCCTGCCTGCCTGCCTGCCTGCCTGCCTGCCTGCCTGCCTGCCTGGCTGTGTGTCTGTGTGTCTGTGTGTCTGTGTTTTTTTTTTCCTACGCTCCTTTTCTGTAAAAGTCTGCGCGCGCTGCATCATTTCCTTCAATGATGGCCCTTGGAACAAGGGACTTTGGAGAATTCCCAGCATGCAATGCACAAAAGCTGGAATTAAACAAAAGAGATGCCTCGCTCATGGGGTGATGAAGCTACGGTAGCAACAAGAAATTGTGGTGAAACAGAGTGTGAGACGTAGAGATGAAATGATGGAAGCAACAGCTTTTTTTTTATACTGGCCTTCGTGAAACGGTGGGCTGTGCCTCTTGGACCAGTTTTTTTTTTTTTAATACTGGCCTTCGTGAAACGATGGGCTGTGCCTCGTGGACCAGTTCTGCAGGGGTACGCTCCGGGATTCGGAGGGCATGCAAAATGGGGGATCTATCTGCTGGGCGCAGGGTGCATTGGGGAATCAGGCATGAGCTTGGGCAGAGGACGCCCAATTGTTCTTCTGAAGTCATCAGCAAATGACAGGTTATCATATGACATTGGTGGCGTCCATTTGCTCGCAATTGTCCAGGAGATCATGTGGCTCGGAGCCAAATAATGTGCATGGCAAAATGCCAGTTGGTTGTGCCAAAATGGCAGCAAAGTGATAATCGCCAGCCAGGCCTGAGCAAAAGTCAATGATGGGACCCCTTGCATTGTCAGCTGCTATGAGTGTCTCTCACGTGGTGGCCACTGGACTACCCACGCAGGGAGTTTGTCTCGTTGGACCCATGGTGAAACGTAATTCTTTTTTTTTTTTTCGGGGCTGTCGTCACCTACATGGGCCTTCCTGCCTCTTGTCCCCGGTTTTTTCCCCACCTGCCAGGTGAGGGTTGTTAGATTTTATGTCAGTTGCCTCCTCGTCCTCCTCCTCCTTCTCCTCCTCCTTCTCCTCCTCGTCCTCCGCCTCCTCCTGCCTCGTCCTCCTCTCCTCCTCCTCCTCGTCCTCCTCGTCGTCCTCGTCGTCCTCGTCGTCCTTGCTCAACTGCGACCGCGATCCACAGTGTTCTCTGCCGGACCTCAACCACGACCATCCACGCCCAGTGTTCCTTGCCGGACCTCAACCACGACCATCCACGCCCAATATTCCCTGCCGGACCTCAACCACGACCATCCTCGCCCAGTGTTCCCTGCCGGACCTCAACCGCGACCATCCGCGCCCAGTGTTCCCTGCCGGACCTCAACCGCGACCATCCTCGCCAAGTGTTCCCTGCCGGACCTCATGTAGGAAGATGTCAAGACAGAAAGAATGTCAGAAGAATGCCAGAAGATATGCCAGAAGATAATGCCAGATAGAATGCCAGATAATATGCCAGAAGATATGCCAGATAGAATGCCAGATAGAATGCCAGAAGATTTGCCAGATAGAATGCCAGAAAATATGCCAGAAGATATGCCAGATAGATATGTCAGAAGATATTCCAGAAGATATGCCAGAAGATATGCCAGAAGATATGTCAGAATATATGCCAGAAGATATGTCAGATAGAATGCCAGAAGATATGTCAGAATATATGCAAGAAGATATGCCAGATAGAATGCCAGAAGATATGTCAGATAGAGTGCCAGAAGATATGCCAGATAGAATGCCAGAAGATTTGCCAGATAGAATGCCAGAAGATATGCCAGATAGAAATGCCAGATCATATGCCAGAAGATATGCCAGATAGAATGCCAAATAGAATGTCAGAAGATATGTCAGATAGAATGCCAGAAGATTTGCCAGTAAGAAAATGTATAAATGTCATGGTGGGGATCACACGAAGTAAAGTTTTTTTTTTTTCGGGGCTGTCTGCACCTACTTGGGCCATCTGCCTCTTGTCCCCGTTTTTTTTTTTAATTTATATCAGGGGGTCACTCTGGGATTCAGAGGGCATGCAAATCACGGGGATCTGCCTGCTGGGCGCAGGGTGCATAGGGGAGAAGACTGCAAGGTCTACAGGCGTTAGGCTGTCAGGTGTTAAGGACACTGTCATCGGTTCCCTCAACAAAATGGCTAAGAAAATCTTGGGCACCCACCACAGGAGGCGTCGCTGCATTCAGTCGCATGGTGTGACATGGGGCAGGCGCTGGAAACTGATGCAGATCAACGAGGTCACATTCACCAAGCCAAAAGCAGGAAATGTTGCGCAAAAACCAAGAAGGCTCCTTCCAGACCGGTTTGGCCTGCATCCAATCTTCAGTCAATAGAAACATATATGGTTCCCGCGCTGTGGAGTTCATCTGGACTCTCAACATGGTTCTGCAGTGCCCTGCTGTGTCATGACCTAAGTGCGCAATGGCGGCAATGACTCTGTATGAGCGCCAGTGAATGGCAAGGTCCTGTCCATCATAAAAAGGCAAGTCAATGCCCCAGTGGAAATTGACTGGGATGTCGCACTTGGCAATATGTCCAGTGCCTGAGCGAATGTGGCGGTCCAGTTGCACACAGATGAGAGGTGTCTGGTGCGTCAGCGCAGTCACCATGCCATCTTGATTGGACCAATCACGAATCATTTGGCTCAATGTTAAGGAGTCATCCTGTAACATAGCTGGATCGAATTGCAAAATAAGTGGCGTGTATGCATCACTTTCATCCATGACTTCAGTGAGAAGACCAACCTGCACACGCTTTTCCCAACTCAAGTTGATGCCAGCAAAGCTGAGTCCCCGCATCAGGTGAGCAAGAAATTCAACCGGGTCACCCTGATTGCCCAAATGCTGCCATTGTTCAAAAACTGGTTGCAAAAAATCAATCTTTGACAGTTCAATAGGTTCCGAACCGGATCGATGTAAAAGTTGGGCAATTGGGATGGCATGAGATCCCCACTGTTCTAAGTCAAACGTTTGAAGACTCAGATATGACCAAAGTGTGGTCAGGAAGGCCGCATTCACGTAGCACCAGTTGGAGTCGTTGGCCAATCTGATGTTGGCCAGGCCCCGCAGCAAAGAATGTCTGTCTGGCAGGGCTACATCTGCAGAGCTATCCACTATTGCTGCACTTTGGCTTTGTTCTGATGTTTGCCCCGTCCTTTGCTCGGCGCTTTGCCCTGTCCCTTCCCCAGCAGTGACTGGAGCTGTTGGCCCTGTTTGCTCTGGTGAAGGGCATGGGGCTTCATGTAAAGGGGGGCCCAACAGCGCCCATACCGTGCATCCCTGCAACGTTGTCAGCAGGATTTGTAGGTCGTCCGCTCGCATGGATATTTGCCAAATCCACGGCACCACTGCATCTGCTGACATCGGCCTCAAGCTGGTGAATTTCACCGTGACACTGGGGTCTTTCAGGATCTCCATGAGTTGCTCTGTGTACTTCGCCATCCTCTGCAGGGAGATGGGAGTTTGGCCCGTGGTCTTGAGGCTCTGTGCTTGTGGGCTCCAGCGCTGGAACATGAACTGGCCCTCCGGGGACAGAACTCCCTGATCCAGGGCCACTTTCTTCAATGGATCCTCGTTGCCGCAGCTGGCCAGTCGGGTAACCCTCTGATTCAGTGTGGCCGCCAGGTGTTGGGTCAGGTAACATCTCAGGGGCAAGAAAGGCACCTCCGGGGTCTCCTGCTTCACTGTCAGCCGCTGTTTCCATTCGGCTGCTTTCTGGACCAGCGCTGGGAGCAGGGCCTGCGGCTCGGTTTGCATAAAGCAAATCCATGAGTCTTGACGCTTGAGAGCTTGTTGCTCCGCATCCACTCGTAGCAGTAGTTGGCCCATTGCCCTCAGTAGTGGCATCGTTGCGACGTCTGGTTCTTCTGGTGTTGCCCCATTCGGCTTGTGTTTCTTGCTCTCCCTGGCGGCGTCTGGTCGAGCGTACCTTTCTTGTGTGAGCAGTGAGCCCATCTGCTTGAACGTCTCCAGCATTTCGGAGTCCTCTGCCGTGAAGTGTGGCGAGTAGTCCATGATCTTGAAGAAGCAATGCAGTTTGTAGGGCAACTGGGCACTGGTGCTGCAGGTGAATCTGAGCCAAGACTGATCGATCAGTGAGTTCCTGTGCATCTTCATGGCCATGCGCTGGATAATTGTAGATCTGTGTGCACAGTTCACATTGATGATCATGTTGATTTTCTCGGCTCATGGCTGTCAACAGCTGTGGCATCATGGCTCGATGGTCATGCAAGGCTGAGGAATGGGCCCTGTGCAAGTGGCCAGTCACTTCAGCAGGATGAAATTGAAGGCCACAAAGCAGGCATCTAGTGCGCAAAAACTGCACCAGCAGGGGGTCCGTCCACAGTTGGTCAAAGTGTCTGGCAATCAAGACATCACACAGTCGCTCACTTGCAGGTTCATGATGTACAGCTGCCAAAAACTGTCGCAGCTGTGCACGCTCAAACGCCCAAGGCAGGAACATGGGTTGCGCCATCTTCTGCACCATCATTCCAAGCTGCCTGAAAGCAACGCAAAGGTGCTGGAGGCCACTGGCATTAGTCATGGGATTGCACAGACATCCAAGCCTACGTCCCGCTTCCACCAATAGTTGAACATGTGATTGAGATTCCCTCCATAACACACTATGAACAGTTTGAAGATGGAGTGAGAGATCTCCCGTTCTTTGGAAAGACGTCTGGCAAAATTGACATCGCAAGGTCAAGTGCAAACGCTTCTGTGGAGCCTGACAGAGTTGAGCAATATCTCCGGATTGGAGGAGCTCCTGCCATTCAGCAGAGACAGGTGATTCAGTGGGCTGTTTGGCCGGGTTGAAGTTCTGGCATTGCCCCAACGTGATATGCTGCCGAAGAGCTGATTTTTCTGTGAAAATAGCAAGGCAGTGTGAGCACACCGGCTGTGTTCCATCTAACATGTCTCGAAGGGGATCCCAGTCAAGCGGTTCCAATCTGTGTTGCTGATGCAAGTGTCTGTGAAGTTGGTGCAGCTCCTGAAAATGTTCAGCGCAAACATCACAACGCAGAACTTCATTGCTTGGGCATTGATAGGACTGGCCCGTTGGATCTGTGTTGACCAAAAGCAAAGCTGCCTGAACCATGACTGGACATTGATGCACCCTTCGAAATGTCTTGTTGCAAAACCTGCAGGGAGAATTTGAAGCTTGTGCACGCCCTAATTGGCTGGCCTTGGACATCACGTGCGGCAGCAATGTTGGATGCTGCGTCCGCATGTGCAGGTTCAAATCCTGCGGTCTATTGCAAAAAAATCCACAAAGAACGCAGTGATGTGTCCAGTCTGTCAGGGCATCAGGCTGGGTTTGCAAGGCATCCCAATTGCGTTCACGGACACAGTTCAGTGCTGTAGGTCCATATGGTTTGGTCATCAACAGAGTCAACGCCGCAGGGGTCAGTTTCGGATACGTCTGGTCAGTAGCCATCCTGTTCTGAATACTCAAGGCAAAATGCCTGGATGGGTCCACTGCCTGGCAGCAGTTGCGTTCAAGGTGAATCTGAAAATTGCGCCAGGAGGTGAAGGCTTCAAGGCAATGGGAGCATTGTGGGAGACCGCCAACAGCAAAAGATGCTATAGTAGTAAAGTATGTACGCATTTGAGTGTGGCCATGCACATTAGTCAAATGTCGGCGCAAATTGGCAAGTGAGTTGCAGGCAAACGAACAAAACTGACATCTGTATGGCTGTAGCAGCGCCTCGTCGCCAGGAATGGTCAACAGAGCCTGAAGGTGTTCATGCCATGTACTCTGTATCATCTGCAGTAGTGGCACAAGATGAGTCCAGTCGACTGTCCATAAGATGTCGTCATTGTCCAGTTGGTTGAGTCGACGGCTTAATTAATCTGTCACGTAGCTGCTGTCCGGCATGGAGGAGCAAATGCAAAGGATGTGCTACGTTGTGATGATGAAGGACTTCAGCATGAGTGCGATGTGTTGCAAAGGAGTGGTCTCCTAATAGCTGTCTGTACATCAGAAACACGCCTTGCTGTATCTGTAGCAGGTCAGTCTGTGTGAACCCTGTTGAAAATAAACCGTACACCAGTGTTGTGAAAACACATGAATGCCATAGTTGGAGCCTGGTTTTCCTGGGAATTTGCTTGGCACACAACCATCGTCGTAGTCTGGCAAAGGTGTGACGGGCCGCTTTCAATCTAGTTCTGACAGTGTTGCGTTCAAACAAGTTGTAACCTACCATGATACCCAAATACTTGGCTTGAGTCTGGACAGGCAAGCGTGATTCACCATGGGCACGAGGAATCATGATGTAGGGACCATTGGAGTCTGTCTTGACGTATTTGTTGTGGAGGTGACGACAGTTAGTGCCCCCTATTTTGACACTAGCATGGGATTTCTCCAGGGACAACTGGACTCCTAACATGTCAAGCGTATCCAAGAGTATTCCTATCCTCTTCAGGGCCGACTGCAGTTGCATTTCACTGTAAAACTCCTCGCAACAATGGAGATCGTCAGCGAAAGCTGTGAGGCAACTTTTGATCCACTGTGCACTGATGCTATCACGCAGTTGGTAAAACAAGTGCAGTGTGTGGCTGGACCACAATATTGGAGCTGCACGGCATCCTTGTCTGACTCCCCGTCCCGTGGCAACTCTTTGAGCGGTGCTTCCATCTGACACAACGTACGCAGTGTTTGTGTGCCATTCGCTCAGCAATGTGACCAATACCTGATCGATGGGCAGGGCATTGATGAAGCCAAAAAGTGACTTTCTGGGTACAAGATCGAAGGCCTTGTTTGCGTCCAACAGCACTTGAATCCCTCCACATACCTGATAGCAGGGTTCTTGCTTGGCTCGGGCATGCACACTGCGACGCTGAGAGGCGGTCATGGTTCTGACCTTGTTGCAATGTGTGATGACCCTGCGAATGGCATCATAGGTTGATCTTTGACGCATAAATGCCATTTGTGGCCAGGGACAAAGCAGTGGCTGGACTGCAGCAGCAAATTTAGCTGTGATGAGACCTAAGATGCACTTCCCTACCGGTTCCAACAGAGCCAACGGCCGAAGGTGGCCTAGTCTATCTGGGGTCTTGGAGGGTTTGCTGATGAAAGTCAAATGTGCATCTTTCCACTGCTGGGGTATGAACACTGGTTGCTGGGTCCACCAGTCTTGGAGCTTGGCATAAAAAAACTCAGCGACCTGTCGAGCATGGGTCTTCCAGCAAATGCCAGGAAGGCAGCTGCGTGCTACTGCTTTGGTGACAGGTATTTTGGATATTTCCAAAATAAGTTCATTCAAGTCAAACGGAATGCCTGTTGGTGCCGGTTGATTCAGCCTGATAGGGTCAGAATCATGCCAGATCTCCTGAATGTAGTCCCTGGTCATGTGCATCACCTGTTCAGCATTGGCAGGTGTGCCATCCATCAAACGGAGTCGTATGCGTTTCATGGGTTGTTTGGGCGTGTACTTCCGAATGGTTTGATAAACGGCAAAGCTGTCATGTCTGTGGGATGCATGTGCAACTTCTTGGAGCAGGTCTTGCATCTTCTGGTGTTTCAGCTGTCTGGTCCTGCGCTGTTGCAGTCTTTTCAGCTGTCGATACCTGCCATAATGAAACCAAACCTGAAACAGGGATTTCAGATCAACTTCCTGACATTGTGCAACGCAGATCCTATGCCTCCATAGTTGCTGAATGACCTGTCCTTGATCTCTGGTGGGTGCACTCAGTGGTTGGGCAAGGGTGGATTCCTTAGGAAAAGCCTGGTGAAACGTCGGCAGCAAGTGGGTGTGCATGTCCTCTATGAGGGTATGGTCATCATGCTGTTGTTGGCTGAATTCATAAAACCTCTGTGTGAAACAATTGTGAAACTGTTGCCATGTAGCATCTTGGGACTGCCAGGAGCGTCTGCATCGAAGTCTCTGTTGGAAATTGCACACACTGGCCTGTGCTTTCCGTGTGAAAACATAAGGGATTTTTCGGATGGAGCAAATCATTGGCGTGTGCCGAGCGCCAGTCAGTGGCAAAAAAGGGGCTGCAGTAATGAATTTCACATCTTTGGCAGTGGCATCAGTGTCGGCAATTCTCATGATCATGTGATCAATGCTGGAGGCTGCAAGGCTATGTTCAAACGTTGGGGGATTCTTTGCATTCCAGCTGTTCAAAATGTTGAGATTAAACTTCTGCAAAAACTCCATGAGGACATGACTGTCACGATGTGGGGAGCTTGTGCAAAGTGCTCCTCTCCATGTATGCTTATTGGTGCCAGCATAGGGTCCGAGTGGCATAGCACTGCAGTTGAAATCTCCCAAAATGAGAACACTGTTGCGGTGCGGCAAGTGCGCAGCATGTTGTTCCAGCTTGTTCCAAAACAGACTACGGTGATGCATGCGGTGATGTTCAATGGTGTCAGCATATTGGTAGCATCCTAGGATGTCCATGGATCTCTTCTGGAAATGCAGCCTCAGGTGTCCAAGGCGTCCTGGCAGTGGAGCTATGAATCCAATCTGGTCTGGACGGCACAAGGATTTTCGGATGAGAAAGAGCAACCCATCAGCCTTGTCACTCCCAGTTCCGGTATGGATATGGTACCACCACTGATCAGTCCACTCCGCTTCAAATGACCAACGCGTTTCACTCAGAAGCAAAATATCCAGTGCTGACTGAAGCGCCCAGATCTTTACCTCGTGGAGGCGTTCTTGTGCTAGTCCACCCATGTTCACATGTCCAATATGCATTCGATTCTGTGGAATCTGATGATGCCTCGTGGGTGGTTGTGTGTTTTGTCGACCGGGAGATGATCTGATCGGTTTAGTGCCAGGTGCCAGCTGATCCAACGTCATGCATTTGCCACGATACCAAGCACTGCCACATTGCTGCGCCCTTCGAATCGCCCGTTTGTAGCTGCGCTTCTGTACCCCATTTAGTGGTTTGCATGGCCTATCAGAACTCTCAGGACCGTAGTCCATTGGCAGCGCTTTGTCATGTGAGTTTGCAGTCAAAAGGTTGTAAAGGCTGAAGGCATTGAAGTCTGCTTCAGTCTCGATCCATGACTCATCGAGACAACCCTCACCCCCACTCAGCTCAGTCTGTGATGGCATCATGTTGTCAGCGGTGATCATTATAAATGTCCAGGGCAAGAGCAAAATGCTGCAAAGTGATGCTGTTCTGAAAAACGCCGAGTGTCCGGACTTGGGACCGGATTTGCGATTGGTGCTGAGGTGCCGTGGTGATACCTGCAAGTTCACCCAGTTGTGCCAATATATCAAGCAAAGAAACCTCCCCAGTTGCGTAACGCGTCGATGTGACTGGTGTCCAGCTGAACAATGCTGTGTTGTCGCTTGCTTTGTGCGGAGCCACCCGCCAGAAAAGGCCAGTAAAGAAATTAATCCAGAAATGAAACGTATTGAAATCGTCTTGTAAAACTGGGAAAATTTGATCAGGAGCGACCCTGCAGAAAACGCCAGAATGCAAAAATTCAAGACTGCACTGTATTGGATGAACTTGTTGCAATGCCAAAATGATTTGTTTGTTGCACTGTGAAATCCGTCGTCAGCAGTTGGAGATGAAATCAGCGCACTCAAATTGGGAGCAATACAGGTAACTGAAGTAGAGACAAAGTCAATCCACTCTGTCCCGTAGTCCCCAAGGTCAGAGCAGTGAAAATCAGTGCAACGAAATAATTGCTGGGCACGTTGGTTGATGTACCTTGCTGTCAATCTGCAGTGGTCAGGTGTGTGGTCAGGTGAAAACTCAAACCTATCCGGAACAACCCTTCCTGCAGTGTAGCCAGTTCTGAGCTTCGCCGCGATCAAAAGGCAAATCAGAAAGGTGATGCCAACGCACATGCACTAAAACTCAGATGGGCCTCACTCAAATGGCCAACTCCAAAATCAATGTGCCAGTGCAGATGAAATGGTAAGCGACACAGCAAATGGCAAGAGAGGCACGGGTACTGGGCTATTGTAGCACTAGAGCTCCTCGCTCTTGAAGCAGCACTGGTGACTGCAAAGGGGCTTGTGTGTGTCTGTGTGTCTGTGTGTATGTGTGTATGTGTGTGGGTGTCTGCCTGCCTGCCTGCCTGCCTGGCTGTCTGGCTGTCTGTCTGTGTGTCTGTGTGTCTGTGTGTCTGCCTGCCTGCCTGCCTGCCTGTCTGCCTGTCTGCCTGCCTGCCCCCTGCCTGGCTGTTGTGTCTGTGTGTCTGTGTGTGTGGGTGTCTGCCTGCCTCTGCCTGCCTGCCGCTGCCTGCCCCTCCTGCCTGCCTGTGTGCTGTGTGTGTGTCTGTGTCTGTGGGTCTGTGTGTGTGGTGTGTGGTGTGTGTGTGTGTGTGTGTGTCTGTGTGTGTGTGTCTGTGGTGTGGTGTGTGTGTCTGTGTGTGTGTGTGTGTGTGTGTGTCTGTGTGGTGTTGTGTGTTTGTATGTGTGTGGTCGTGTGGTGTCTGTGTGTGTGTCTGTGTGTGTGTGTGTGTGTGTGTGTGTCTGTGTGTGTGTCTGTGTGTGTGTCTGTGTGTGTGTCTGTGTGTGTCTGTGTGTGTGTCTCTGTGTGTGTCTCTGTGTGTGTCTCTGTGTGTCTCTGTGTGTCTCTCTCTGTCTCTCTCTGTCTGTCTCTCTCTGTCTGTCTGTCTGTCTGTCTGTCTGTCTGTCTGTCTCTTTGTCTGTCTGTCTCTGTCTGTCTGTCTGTGTCTGTCTGTCTGTCTGTCTGTCTGTCTGTCTGTCTGTCTGTCTGTCTGTCTGTCTGTCTGTCTGTCTGTCTGTCTGTCTGTCTGTCTGTCTGTCTGTCTGTCTGTCTGTCTGTCTGTCTGTCTGTCTGTCTGGCTGTCTGTCTGTCTGTCTGTCTGTCTGTCTGTCTGTCTGTCTGTCTGTCTGTCTGTCTGTCTGTCTGTCTGTCTGTCTGTCTGTCTGTCTGTGTGTCTGTGTGTCTGTGTGCCTGTGTGTCTGTGTGCCTGTGTGGCTGTGTGGCTGTGTGGCTGTGTGGCTGTGTGGCTGTGTGTCTGTCTGTCTGCCTGCCTGCCTGCCTGCATGCATGCATGTCTGTCTGCCTGCCTGCCTGCATGCATGCATGCATGCATGGATCTATGGATGTAATGTATGTAATGTATGTAATGTATGTAATGTATGTAATATATGTAATGTATGTAATGTATGTAATGTATGTAATGTATGTAATGTATGTAATGTATGTAATGTATGTAATGTATGCAATGTATGCAATGTATAAAATGTATGCAATGTATGCAATGTATGCAATGTATGCAATGTATGCAATGTATGCAATGTATGCAATGTATGCAATGTATGCAATGTATGGAATGTATGTAATGTATGTAATGTATGTAATGTATGTAATGTATGTAATGTATGTAATGTTATGTAATGTTATGTAATGTTATGTAATGTTATGTAATGTTATGTAATGTTATGTAATGTATGTAATGTATGTAATGTATGTAATGTATGTAATGTATGTAATGTATGTAATGTATGTAATGTATGTAATGTAATGTAATGTAATGTAGTGTAGTGTAATGTAATGTAATGTAATGTATGCATGCATCTATGCATGTATGCATGCATGCATGCATGGATGTATGTAATGTTCGGAAAAGGATTGCTTTGGCATTCTATGTGCAAAGTTGAGGAGTCAGGTGTATATTCTGTGTTGATGATTTATTTCTTCGTAGCTGGTATTCAATCATTTCAGAGTGACAATAGAACGGTTTATTGGGACAGCTGCTATCACTGTAATTATTTATCCTACTTGGATTTCCTTGTGAGGCGGACCTGGTGGCTATCTTAGGTACTTCAACATGGCCAGAGAATGCCAGAGAATATCAACAGTTGTGAGAACATCCTAAGTGACCTAACTTAAAACAGGCACCAAAACAGGCGTGATTGCTGGGGTCTCAGAGTGTCCCAGTTCCAAAAAAGGAATCAAACCAGCATAGCAAACCAGCCCAGCCATGAGATCAAGATCCCCGGCTCAAATTCCGCCACCAACTGCCAATGGTCCGGAATCTCTCCTGGCCATGAATGCCTTCTAATGAAGTTGATTTCTACTGCGATATTGCATTGCCCTAATTATACTGTAATTCCGATAAAATTCAACACACATAAACCGACCTTCCATCAAATGTGGTCATTGCCAACCGTCAAACTAACCATCCCCTAGACCAATTTTTGGAGATGCGTGGATATGATGATGATTATCATTATCATTCTTAATATTGAATATTGTGTTTTTTTGATTTCAGGCGTTGGTGCCCAGTCTTTGACCCATATCCCACCTTTGCTTTGCCATGGCCTGATGAGCCTGACAGCCGCCAGATGTCAAAACTGCGGGTATTGAATCAAATGGAGATTGAAACATCAGTAATCCATTTGGTCTACGTTTGAAAACATTGGAATGAAAGTAAACAGTAAACATCAATAAACCACCAATACGGGGATTCAAACCAAAAAGAATCGTGAGTCTCGAAAGAAGGTACTTGTACACAGAAAACAAGGTGCAGAGATAGACATCAAACATCCCTGGCCGACTTCCAATCGATCCTTTCGGGAGACTTCCCCAGTGGGGGCCCTTCACCGAAATCACCGTCATTCCTGTCAAAGATTTCCCTGGAACATCCTCACAACCGTTTTACGAAAAGTGCGAATCATGATGTCATGGTATCACAAAAGATGGATTGGTTTAAGGGACAAGTGATGGAAACCACAGAAAATCACAGGACATCACCATTTTTTTTTCGGGTGTGAAAACCGCCACAGGTCAACGGTCAACCGCTTGGAATTTACGACAGTGACAAGGCCACCCTTAGCGTGACACTGTTCTCGGGTGACTGTTGGATCATGTTGGATCAGAATGCCCCAATGAAATCTGGTATGAAATCGCATCACTACCTCCCGGTAATTTATCTTGCATGGCAATTGAACATATCCATTTTTGTAGATAGCTTGTCATGGACTGATAGACTTGTCATGTTCTATTGCTATGCTATTTGCGATTCCTGAGTATATTTGGAAAAGCTTGAATACCCCACAAAAAAAATAAATAAAACAACAAAATAACAACACATCGATAGAACAGGGACATCTTCCTCCACAAAAAGAGCTGAAAACATCTTCCGCCAATCCCCTGGGTCCCGGGAGTCCCGGCCCGTCCCGGCCCGTCCCGGCCCGTCCCGGCCTTGCGGATTCCAGTAGCTCCAGCCCCTTTTCCAAGCGTTCCAAGCATTCCACCTGCGATGACATGGATGATATGCAATGACCCATAGCCATGGTATAGACTGGTTAAGCCATGGCCCATAGAAATAGATGATTTTCCCAGCTAGATACCAATACCTCCATTTATGGTTGGGATTTTCCATGGCGAACTGTTAGTCATAACCAGATGGTAACTTATAAACCTCCTCTTTGTGGCTATAATATGCTATAATTTCCCCTATAAATCCTAGAATGAGTTGGAGCCCTGACAGGTAGGATTGACAGATATCCCTCACGGTGCCTTTCGCGCATTCCACTGTCACTGTTGTTTTCAAGAAGTCATCTCTAAGTCATGTCATGATGAGGTGGAGGGGTCACGTTTACACTCACCACTTATGATTCATGTGATCCTCCAAGTAGTTAAGCCAGTTAAAGACAATATTACTATCAAACCCAATTAACTATAGCAATCCCCCAAAAAAAATCCATAAAGAATCATAAATAATGACATGTCCGTCCTATTTCCAAATTCTACATGGTCATGGGTCAGAACCCTGCTACCCAAATTGTACCCAAAATCATAGCTGGTTAATGGATGGTTATTCACCCATTCATATGGTAGTATCATAGGTCCTGACCCATCATGCATAATTAACCAGTATTGAACCAATTTGACACTTATATAAATGTTATTAACCCCACTTAGTTTTTTTTTTATGATTGCCCATATGATTAGCCATAGACTATAGGTGTTAAATATTATTCACCCCACAAAATTCCCCTCAAACGACTCGGGGTTTCACGCCTTCTGAGAGACCTGGACCAAGCGTTGGATTCCCTCGATGCCGCTCTTGTGGGCCACCAAACGCAGGGCCTGCCACGGGGACCGGCTGATCAGCTGCGGGCACTGGATCAGATGACTGGAATATCCATGATATATGATGGGGTTATATATGGTTATATGGGATTATATATAGGATATCAATTATATGGGGTTATCTGATATATATATATATATTATGGAATATATATATATATACATATTATGGAATATATATATATATGATGGAATATATATATATATGGTATATATCATGATATAAAACCATATCCACCCACTGGATTATATGGGATGAAATATGGTATATATACGTATATATATATATACACGTATATACATATATATACGTATGTATATATTTATATATACGTATATATGAAGACATATGAAGTATCAATCACTGGGATGGATACACGTAGCAAGCAGTAGACAGGTTTGCTCCCAACACCCCAGGCCATTTATGGTGCGCTTTCTATTGCCGCGTTTGAATACCAGAGGGTCAACTGGGTAAATATAAAGTAAAATTACTTTACCAATTAGCTCCCAAAAAGTGGCTATCATTTACATTAATTTACCAACAATGGGTTGGAGCAAGCCCTGGTAAACTGCGAAAAAAAATGGGGCAGTTCACTAGGAATAAAACTGTTTAAGTGACCTACCCAAAGGTGACACCCACAATGATCCATGAGAAATAAGCCTTTCTTAGTGGTTGTTGGTGCTTAGTAGTAAGCCACAAATCCTGAAGATGGGTGGGGTCAGGGGTGGCACCCCGAAAATTTGCAATCGAACAAATTTCTAACCACGACACGGTTCCAGCAACAGCGAATCAAACAATGCTGATTGGACAGGGTATATGATACATGTTGGAGATCTTGTATGGTTTGAGATCATATTTGGGTCAGGTTATGTGAAAACTAACATAAAGTTGCAGAAAATCGATGAACATTTTTTCGCAGCCATCCCATTCACAAACGATGACCGGGGGTCATTAAAAAAAACAGTCGTAGAGGTATAGCCAAAAATAAATACCCATTAATTGGGAGTCAATTTAATGTTGGGTATACCTCTATGACTGGGATAATTTAAATTCTGGATGGTTTGTGTTATTGGGTTTATTCCATTTTCATAGTCATGATGAATAGCTTGGCAGATCCTAGTGGGAAAGCAACCATCAAGAACCATGCCTGGCTCAGCGTAATATTTAGCACCAGTCAGACAGGGGACTTGCCTTTATCACGAATAAACCTCAAGGGCCAACTCCAAAAAACATTGTGGTCGCTATAGGGTTACTTGCTTACACATATTCGTATCTATGTACTATGGACATAGAATCATTCACACATCCCTTCATCAAAAAATATTTTGGGTAATCCCACGTATGTTGATCATAGAATGGGGGTGCTTTATAAGAAAGGCGGATGGGACTACGAACCTATATATATATATATACACTGTTTGGTGGTTGACCTACCCCTCTGAAAAATATGGAAGTCAGTTGGGATGATGAAATTTCCAAAATATGGAAAATGTATGAAAATGTTCCAAACAACCAACCAGTATATATCATATATCATATATTCAATACATAAACCGGGGTACAGAATTGCAGTCTTCACAATGTTACTAACAACTTTCTTTTTCGCAACATATCTACCTGTTATTACCATAACAATAGTAATAGTTAAAATCTTATCAAACCACTTACTAATACATAACTTGCTATGTTGTGCTAATTACAAAGTTATTAACCATAGCAATAGTTGTTAACCACTTACTATCATATTTACCCTGCTACTGTTTTGTTGACTAGCAATTGTTGATAACTTACTGTAATTCAGTGGCGATATAATTTATATGGGTGTATATTAGCTAATAATTTATTAGTTTGATTTGCTATAAGTGACTAATTAGTAATTAGTAAGTTGACTTGCATGAGTTGTCATTATTAGGGTTTGATATGGTACCCACTATTAGCTATTAGTAAGCTGATTGACTATTAGTTACTAAGTAGTAAGTTAACTTTTTAACTTGATACAAGTAACTATTAGTTACCAAGTCATTGACCACTTACTATGGGTTTATAATCCATGCTCCGCTTACGCCTCCAAGGCATCCTGCACTTCTTGCGCCTCCTCTGGCCTTACGACACCCACAGGCGCGTGGCGATGTTCAAAACATGTGGCGATGTAAGGAATAATAAATGACGTGTTATAAGGTCAAATAACCATAATTTACTTGGGATTCTAAACCCTACATTCAGATTTGTTGCGTAAGTATATAACAATGCGACTTATCAAATTGTTGAACAAATGCCTATGTTCAACAAGTTCCAGCCAGATTTACACAAAAATCTACTGTGTTACATAATTATGTGTACACATATATATATATATATACATAGCCATATTAGATCATATTACGCCATACGCACATTCCAAAAACTGCTGGTACCTTGTACTTATTGGAGAAACAAAAAAATCCGGATTTTGTAAAAACTCGCTATTGGTCACAAAACACCCTGGTACCCTGTTGATCATGTTAGATCCATCTCCATATTCAGGACATGGAGGTTTCCTAAGTCATGGGGGTGCCCCGAAAAAATCATCCATTTTCCTGGAGGACTTTCCATAATAAGCATTAACAAACCATCTAACTATTGGTGTATCCACATGACTTAGGAAAACCCTACGTATTCGTCTTGATATTTTTCACGGAATAGATGCGGTGTCTACGTCAATACATGTATCACGATGGCAGCAGCATGCGGCGATAAACGTGCTTCGTGAATTTTGAAGCCGTTCCAATCGGACTTCACATCGATTTACCTACAAACATCAAACTAAATCATCAAAATAATCAGGTTCAGTGGGGCATTTCAGGGTTTCGAAGGGGGCATGTCCCATTGGTTTGCAAATCATGATTTTGATGTTGCTGCTGATGATGATAATGATGGTGATGGTGATGTTGTTGTTGCTGCTGCTGCTGATGATGATGATGGCCGTTACTATGACTCATAACAACGAAGAATTTGTTTGTGGAACACGCATCTTGAAACACCCGACCAACAGGGCACGGGACTGCGACCTCAGATGTTTCATGCCACGAACACAATATGTGACTGGGGTATATCGGTAGATCCCACACATCACTGGCATATTTCATTTGGTTTTCATTCACATCGAAACTTGAAATCCACAACCCAAGTCACTGGCCCAAGTCATATCATATTGTTGGTTATATAATAATATCAATATTTCATAAATAACGAAAAATGATATCCGATTCTATCCCAGATCTCATGGATTTTTTCCCCATGGCGCTGTTCCCCCGTTGATCTCTACGTTGAAAAACTCGCGGAGCTCAGGCTCCCGACGTGGCAGGACCCGTTGCCGGACCCGTTGCCGGCTCGAAGGGTTCTGGACAGGAGATGGATCCCAATAGCTGGGTGGTTTCCATGGAAAGTCCAAAGAAAAACTGGGAAATAATGTATGGGATATATGGGATAATATGGTTAAGAATCAATATATTGGCCATAGTTATTATCCATGGTGTATGGTTATTAATATCTGGTTCGTGGTTGACCTACCCCTCTGAAAAATTTGAGTCAGTTGGGATGATGAAATTCCCCAATTGATGGGAAAAACAAAATTCATGTTCCAAACCACCAACCAGAAAAATGGATGACAACTAGGGGTGTTTGACCCCATGACAAAACGGAAACCTGTGAAGATGTCCAATGATGGTTGCCTGTTGTCAGTATCAATGAAGTGGCCAGCATTAAACACTGCCTGCAACCGCTGGATCCATTCTGGTCGACTATCCGGAAGTAAGGGTATATCCGGCAGATCTGGTGAGGTCACAGCGGCATGAATGAAGGTCGGTTGCTCCGGACGTTGAAAGACCTGGCCATGGATCGCTTGCTGCAATGTCCTACGAAGCAGTGCATTTTCCAATGTAAGTAAATGTGGTATATCAAGGAGGATCCCTCTACTAATGACCAGCCTGAAGGCATAGCCTGATTGAACATTGACAATCTGATGTTGTCTGACAGGGACACTACCGAACCACAGGCTGCAGTGGTTTTGCATACTGCTAGGCGGACAATCAAGCTGAAACTGCAAGGCCAATAGCACATCATCAAGCTGGATGCGTTCCGCCAAACCAGGGCACATGTATAAGGGTTGCGTTCAGCATCGACGTCTGAATCATGCACTGAAAGCAAGACAGAACGCAATGCTGGCAATGGTTTCTGTGTGACCAAAACCTGCGCAACAATACCAGCTGCCGCATCTTCGGATTCAGGGTAGATGATTGCAAAGGTAATTTCACCATCAGTGGCAGATGAGGATGACGATGGCGGATTCGGCGGATTCGGAGGTGGTTGTTGCGCATGAACCACCTGCTGCCATTGGGTCGCAATTGACCCAGCAGGCGCCTGCCAGCAGAACGCGTTCTGCATTTCGTTCAACAGAACGCGTTGGGTGAGCAAAAAGCCCTTGAGCCAAAATGGCTACGGAGAGGCCTTACTACATTCAAAAAACAAGCACATGTCCAGCAGATCGTGTGAATGCTGATTGCAGATCGCGTGAATGCTGATTGACCACTTTTCTACAAATACAATACCTGAATGAAAATGTTTTGTAGCTACACCCACTATCTCAATTTGAAGTTTATTAGGAACACCCCTTATGTATGTAAACATGATCACCAAATGGTTGGTTACATAGGAAAGTCTATGGCAACCGCATGTCAGAGAGTTTCTTTATTCCCCAGAATTAGCTGAAGGACAAAGTACAGGAAATATCACACCCGACGGGAGTTCATTGATTTCATGGGCAAATCCAATGTTTTGTTGTAGGATCAATTGTTGGTTTTATTCATGCGAACATGTTATTTTCCATCAAACAAACTGAAGTTCTTCGCAGAAATCATCTGTCTTTCCCAGCGTTTTCGATGCCCGTCCTCCCGTTTTCACTTTCTCCACGCTTCCGGGTGCACTCTCCGTAGCATCCTCCAGGGATTCACCTTGGATGATTGTGCAAGGAGGGGCCCAAGTCCCTCATATCAGAAAAATGGTGAAAAAAAACTAGGCGCAAGTGTAAGTCAGCATAATAAAAACTACACTTGAGAGGAGAAAATCTTGCTGGTGCTAAACGCAGGGAATGAGGGAATGATCCATAAGCACTAGTAATAATCATCCCATTCCCCCATCCATTCCCTGCTAAGCACCAGTCTGACTCTAACCGAGGGGTACCAACGTGTAAAGCACCCTCAGACTATCTGTTGGCACGGGGCCAAGGCAATGCGTAGTGGAAGCGAATCTAAATCGTCGAACCAAATGGGCCATGGTGAAACCACAGCAAGGTGCTGCCATGATAAGTATAAGTTGGTTACAAAAACCTAACTATAGATATACCATAAATCCCAGTTAAGTTCCTTATAAACCAACTTGATTAAGTAGGGGGGGGCACCATCTTCTAAGTAATTGTTCAAAATTGCCATTACATCCATTTACTGGAGTCATAATGATATCCCATGATTATCCACATGAAATCCCGATTTTTTTTGGTTTCCGGAGGGGAAATCAGATCACACCGAGGCCGCTGCTTCCGCTGTTTTGCAGCGGCACGAAACGCCAGGAGTTCAGGGTCGACACCTCGGTACACACCGGAGGTGCTGAGTTGACGGGAACCTATCTATATACATCTATATACTCCAAAATAGGTCTACACTAAGAGGTAAATCATGTCTTTTTTGTCATGTAAGTCACAACATTGCAAGGTAATCATCTTCAATAGGGAAATTATCTTTTTTAAGGGGTAAATCAGCATTATAAGTACCTATAATATATTGTAAGCAATATGCGAACCATGGTGCTGGAATATTTACCAACATTTGCCCGAACAAAATCACCCAGTTATGTAGGTAAATATACCAGCTCCATGGAGTATATGGGCTAGTCTAGCTTAGATTCGGTAACCCCCTAATGAAACAGCCTAGAGGACTTATTATGACTTTGTTGAAGGCAACTTCAGCTAGTGCTTGCAGAATTCCTGACAAATAGTTCTGGTATGTGATGGTTGATCAAAATTACCATGTATGATCGATCATCATGTCATGGTTACATTTCAACTCCTTACAAGGACGTTTAGATCGATTACCATGTAACATTTAGTAAAGGTATATATGTACGATAGGTGTCACACAAAAAACCGTGTAATCTTTTGATCTCAAGGTGACCCTTGTGGTCAGATTGTGACCCCTCGAACCGTCGGGCACGGAGTGCCCCACGGGAATGGGACCGAAAAATTGGGTTTCGATGCCCCAAAGTGGCCTGTGAAATGCGGAAGATGATGATAAACCATGATAAACCATGAAGTTTCGACCCGATTTTCAGCCAATCTAAGATGATACAGGTCACAATTCCAACAACTGGACTGGAATTATCAACCAGTGAACTTCCCATTTGTGAAGACATGGCCAAGGTGGTGCCTCCCAGGTGTAAGTTGGTTTATTAACAAAGCTAGATATAGATATCGCCCGCGAATCAACAGTTGTCCTACTTCTCTGGGTATCTTATAGTAATTCAGCAACCTGACCTAAAATAAGGTGATTTTGGGATGATTCGGGAGAACAGGGTTCGGTCGTTATAATTTCTTCAGATATATCCCCGTAAAACAACAGTTGTCCTACCTTCACAAAGCTACCGAACAAGCTGCGGCACCACACGCAGCATGCGCCGAGGCCGGGACCAACTGAACTAGGTCCGTCTCTCCAATCATGGCAACAAAGTCCTGGACACCAGGGGACTTTCTTACTGGATTGGTCTATGGAGGTTTCCTAAGTGGGGTTCACCCCCCTTGCATCATCCAGTCGTCATGGATGACCATGACTTAGTATAGGTTAACCCATGGCGACGACTGGGGATCCCTCATTTTAATAACCCCCCTGGACGACGCGTTTTTGAACGGAGATGTGATGGAGATTTTTCATGAGAGATGGCCATTCCGGGGGGGTCACCCACTTCAGACACCGAGATGATGTCATTTCTCTAAATGGGGGTGCACCAATTACATATGATCTATAGAGTCTATATGGCAATGATGATCTTTTTTCACATGGGGGACCCCTTTTAACCA